GTGGTTTATGTGCTTTTCTGCTGGTGCCTGTGTGTGCTGTGGGGCTGGGCTGTAGGTGAAACTCTGGGTTACATTTCAGAGAGGTGTCCTGGAGGTGGAGCTCTGCTGCCCCCCACCCCCCCCCGCGGCCTGTACTTAGTGCGGCAGCGCCGTCTCCCACTGCCCTTCGCACTGGTCATCCCTGGGCAGCGGGTGTGGGTTCCTGGGCCTCCCCAGCCTTCCCTCCACCAAACCAGCCTGAGCAGGCTCTTGTAGTTGGGGCGAGGGTCTAGCCCCTCTATCTGGAGTGCCCAGTTTTGGAAATCTGTCCTGAGTCCTCAACCACTGCTCCATCGGGCCATTTACCAGGCCCCATGCCCCACTTCCCCTGGAGCTCCCAGCTTTGAGGCCCCCTTGGGAGGGGTCCAGCCTGGCCCAGGGTGCCATGTCTTTATACCCCCCTCTCTCCTGGCCAGCCCTCTACAGCCACAAGCCTGAGGTGGCCCAGTACACCCACACGGGCCTGCTTCCGCAGACCATGCTCATCACTGACACCACCAACCTGAGCGCCCTGGCCAGCCTCACGCCCACCAAGCAGGTAAGGCCCAGGCCCGCCTGGCCCCTTGCTCAGGCCACTTCCCAGAGTGCACCCATGTGGGGCTCAGGAGGCTGCTCTGTTCCCCCAGGTCTTCACCTCAGACACTGAAGCCTCCAGTGAATCCGGGCTTCATACGCCGGCGTCTCAGACCACCACCATCCACATCCCCAGCCAGGACCCTGCAGGCATCCAGCACCTGCAGCCTGCCCACCGGCTCAGTGCCAGCCCCACCGGTGAGCAGCCTTTCCCTGCTCCCTCAGCTGGGGAGGAAGGTGTGTGCAGCAAACGGGAGGGCACACTGCGCTCCCCTGAAGTGAGCCAAGAGGGGTACGAAACCACAGGAAAATGGGCCTATCTTACGGGATTAGCTCACTGACTCGGTTGAGGAAAAAGATTAACTGCAAGAGAGAGTAGAGGGTACTAGTGAGGAGTACGCTGGGCTTGCCGTGGGCCAGAAGGGGCTCACAGGCGTGTTGGTTTGGCTCAGGGCTTGGCACTGAGTGAGTATGTTGCCCACATTTAAAAATTAGCTTTCACAAAGAAATCGTGGTTTCTGGCTTTTCTTGGAAAATTGGAGACTTGTGTTCCCACGTGGCAACAACAGAGTGTGGGCTCTCCAGGTCACCACATCCCCCTTGACCCATTCGTTTCCATCCCGATGCCCCGAGTCTGCAATAATGAAGAGTGGGCACTTGGGAGTTGGGTTGCTGGGCTCTGAGGCTGCGGGCGATCACTTGTTATGTGCGTGACTTTGGGCGGCTGCTTCCCCCACCCTCCCAGCCTCCTCTGTGAGCCTCAGGTTCCTCCATCTGCGGGGACAGTTACTGAGGGCACCACAGGGCCAGGCTCCATGCTTTCTCCACCAGGTATGGGTCATCATCCCCATTTTACAAATGAGAATGCAGACACTCAAGAGCTGTGGGACTTGGCCTTGCCTCCGACAGTGACTAGGCAGCAGGGCCAGGATTTGAACCCAGGTCCAAAATCAAAGCCCATTCTCTTAGCCATCATAGTCATTCAGGGTTCTGGTGAGACACAGGACCAACAGGAATACAGCTGGCCCCTGAGCAGCACGGGGTTTGAACGGCACGGGCCCACTTGTACACCGATAGTTTTCGACACAGCACAGGACTGTAAGTGTACCTTCTCTTCCTTACGACGCTCTCAGTAACTTTCTTTTCTCTAGCTTTGTTGTAAGAATACAGTGTATAATACCTAGAACATACAAAATATGTGCTGTTTAGCTTATTGGTACAGCTTTGGGTCAACAGTAGGCTGTTAGTAGTTGAGTTTTTGCGGAGTCAAAAGTTATATGCAGATTTGTGACTGTGCGCGGGTGAGTGCCCCTGGCCCCCCTGCACTGTTCAAGGGTCAACTCTACATACACCTATATTTAAGGAAACTGGCTCATATGCCTGTGGGGCTGGTAGCTCTGAAAGCTGTAGGGCAGGTCAGCAGGCTGACAACAGAGGCAGTTTTGAGGCAGGATTCATTTTTCTCTAGGAAACCTCAGCTTTTGCTCCTAAAGCCTTCAACTGACTAGATGAGACCCACTCATGTCATCAAGAGAAATCTCCGTTACTTCCAGTCGACTAATTTTAGGTGTTAACCGTAGATACAAAGCACCTACATGGCAACACTTAAATGTTTGCTTTGGTGCCTTCAACTGACTAGATGAGACCCACTCATGTCATCAAGAGAAATCTCCGTTACTTCCAGTCGACTAATTTTAGGTGTTAACCGTAGATACAAAGCACCTCCATGGCAACACTTAAATGTTTGCTTTGGTGCCTGTCCTACGCCTAGCAACAGTGATGCATGAAACTAACCACACCATCTCACCCGGGTGAAACTAACCACACCATCTCAGCTGGGCTTCTTGAATGTTTCCGCCAGAAAGCCCTGAGGCGGCCACTCCCCGGGTGGCTGCAGAGCCTGGCTGGGGGGTTGATGAGACCCAAACACAGACGTTTGGTTTTGGGGTCTTGTTATCTGTTGCAGTTCGGGGGGTGGCGAGGCCCTGTGCCCCCTGTGCCAAGTGCCCCTCGGGGTGGGCGGGCGAGGCGGGGTCAGGAAGGGCCGGGCCGGCAGCCAGTTGTCTCAATTGCCCCCGCAGTGTCCTCCAGCAGCCTGGTGTTGTACCAGAGCCCCGACTCCAGCCATGGCCACGGCCACCTGCTGCCAGCCAACCACAGCGTCATCGAGACCTTCATTTCCACGCAGATGGCTTCATCCTCCCAGTAACCATGGCAACCGCCTCCCAGGGGCTGGGCCCTGCCTGGAGCCTGCATGGCCTGCTTGGGGGGTGACTGGGACATCTGAGCCTGTGAAACTTTCACTGCCACAGGACAGCAGCCTTCCCTGGAAAACTGTGCCTCGGTCCCCACGCTGGTCTGTCAGCGTCGGAAAGGGTTCCAAGGCTCTCCGACCTCAGGAGGGACCATTCCTGATGCTCAGGGTCAATTTTGTCACTTGGAATAGAAGGGAGCAGCCTTTGGACTCTGGTGCCCCCAGCCTGTGCCTGTGGAGAGCCCCGGAACCCCCAAAGGAACCGCACTTCTCAGGACACAAGGCTATATAGCCGTGACTCACTGAGCTCCGAGAGGCCCAGGGTCAACATGGCCCCATTCTGTCCCCTATGTCCTGATCAGGCCCCTCCCCCCTGCTCCCCTTCCAGCTGTAAACCCACATGGCCCATTTGTACCAACCCCTGTCTGCCAATCACATGAGATTTCCCCAAGTGGCTATGCTGTGCTGGAGCCTGGGGCTCAGAGGCCCACGCCCTGCGAGAGCTCAAGCTGGCAGTGAAGGCACGCAGGGCTCTCCAGCTCTTGTCCTGGGCCCTCCTTCTCCCTGGCTTCCAGGACGGCCAGTTTTCTTGGCCATTCGTCCCCCTGGGTATCATACCTTCTCATGCCAGCCTGCCATCTTGCCTCTATGGGAAAGCCCCCCTCAGGGCTAGGAAGTCATCCCTGCCCCATGGGAGCCTTGTGACTGTGCCTGGTGTTTGTCAGGATTCTGGACAACAGCGTCTCTCGCCTGTGGGGCCTTGTGGCCCCTCCCTGGTTTGGGGGAGAAGCTGCTGAGCTCAGAAGGCACCAAGGCCTGAGCAGGTGGCAGAGCTGAGGTGCCCAGAGGGAAGAGGGAAAAGTCCAGGCAGTTCACAGCCACATCCTGGAGCCTGAGGTCCCAAGTGCCACCAGGAGAGACAAGGCAGCTGTGTAAACCCAGGGCTCCACGACCTCCTCTCCCTGGGGCTGCTGCAGATCACCTGGCCTTGCAGACAACTCCCACCCTGGGACTGAGGACTGGGGCCAGGGAAGAACCAGCACCCCCTACAGCTTGCAGCCAGTTAAGGGCGAACCTGTACATTTATTTAACTTTTAGTAAAGGAAATGAGGAACGGAGTATTGGAAATGAGTACTGGAAACTTCTTGCTTGTCCACACATTGCCCCAGATGGGGTTGGGCGGACAGACGGAGGCGGAGGTGGGCCAGGGGCCTGAGGGGAGATGGCTTAGCACACACACTCTCACGTCCCACACCTCTGTCTTTCTTGCTCTGCCAAACCTTGGAGGTAAGGCCATGAAACCAGAATTTCACCTTAACCCTGAGCTTCTCCTCTTCCCGGCAGAACATTCCTGGTGTGTGAAACCCCATTCACAAGTGCTGTGATACTTCCTGAAGTCTTGAGGCTGGGGTGCAGGAACATACCTTGGGGTGTAGGCAGGAGGACACCACCTATGTGATGTTTACTTAAACTGTCTCATCAAGATTCAGCATTGATATTGGAGGCAGCACCCCGATCACTTTGTTAAGTTTGGGGTCTCTCGACAATTTATTTTCAATAATCTGGTTGACTCAGAGACATGATCGTGCATGGTATATTCACAAACATGGAGAAAAAAAATTCTGGAAACCTAGCGGGGGATAAAATCTCTCTCTTTTTCAGACAAGGCTATATCAAGTCTGTGCGGCCTGGAGACAGAAGTACAAAACTTTCTGGGCTGACTCCTTCCCTCAGTTTCTTAAGGATGTCTCCCACACCAGGCTGAGAAGGTGGAGAGGAAGGAAAAGCTATCCCTTCACTTGCTCTCCTCTGTCCCGGGAAGATAGAAGCTTTACCACTTGACCAATAGTCTTGAATAACTGGATGGCTCCTTTTTCCTGAGGCCATGGAAGGTGCTGGTACCACAGGTCTGCGCCAGCCCCCAGCGGGTGCCCCGACGGGCAGGCCTTGATTAACCTTCTCATCCTACAGCTGTCTTTGTCCCGACCCTTGGGCAAGCCCCAATCACGGGCCAAGTATGGACTTGCCAGCCAAGTCCTTGAACTTGGAGAGGGAGGTGGGGCTTGGAAATGCCTTGTCCCTCACGGGCACCTTGTCCCCAGGGCTAGCTAAGCCTTGTGCCCGTGGGCAGGGATCAGTTTGCAGGCATGGCCACTGCGCTCTTTGTTGGTGGGAATGGGGAAGCCTCACTGGCCTTCTTGGCCTTTTTCTTCCTTCTCTTCTTTTTGGTCCCAAGTGATGCCTGGTCTCCATTGAGCTTGGGTGACGGCTTCTCCGGGTTCCCAACTGTGGTCCCACTTGTGGTGGTGGCGGCGACCAAGTCGGCGCTGGCCTCCTTCTTGGCTTTCTTTTTCAACTTCTTTTTCTTCTTCTTTGCCTCTCCGTCCACTCTGATAGGGCTGTGGATGGCAGAGTCCTGGAGGATGTCGGAGGCCGACACCGCTGCCTCCCGGAACCGCTGCCACTCCTCCGTGCTGTCCTCACTGCTGCAAGGGGAGGGCACCGAGTGGCCATGGGGCCCGGAGCCGCCTCTCACCACCCTCGGTCTCAGCCACAGGGAGGAGCTCACAGCGGGAGGCGGCTAGAGGGCTCTGGCTTGGGAGTGAGACTGGCCAGGTTCCAACCCCGGCTTCTCTGCTTCCCAGCTGTGTGACCTCATTAAGTGACTCCACCTCTCTGACCCTCAGTGTCTTCGTCTACGAAATGGGGATCTTAACAGAGCCCAGGCCTCACAGGGATGCCCCAGGAGTGAGGTATCTGGCACAAGAGGGTGCTCAAGAAGCAGTAAAAATCCAAAGCCAATGCCCAACAGAACCTTTTCTCCCTCCCACTGAGGGCACCATTTCTCGAGCTACCTGACAGGGCTCCTCCTTGGCCTGGATCTGATCAGATTCTGCTCGGCTATTCCAGGGGACTGGCAAATACAGACAAAGGGCTAAAAAAGGAGGGAAGGGGAGGACAGGGTGTGAGACCTCACCTGGAGCTGGAAGGTAATCGCTTTCGACCAGGCTGGGGAGTAGCATTCTTCTCTGAGCCTCCAGGGACGGAAGTGAAGAAGAGGCGGAAGCCTGAAATCCAAAGGACCGGAGTAAGCACTGCCAGGGGCCGGCCCCTCCTCCCAGGCGCCAAGGCGGCCCTGCCCCTGCCCTCAAGGAGCTCCACGTAGAGGGGAAGACCCAGGAATCACTAGTGGTTGGCTGACTACAGAAAGATGCCTTTTGTGTCGAGAGGCACACGTGATGCCTGCCGGAGCCAGGGGATGGGGTGCCTGAGGGGACGCCAGCTACCCCATCAGGGCAGCAAGCCCTAAGAGGAACCGGGAGCCAGCAGGTGAACCTTCTGCGTCAGGCAGCTTCCACAGTGGCAAGTGGGCTGGGCATGGGACAGACAGGCTCCCCTGGGAGCGGCTGGGGAGTGCGGCGGTGAGACAGCCCCCCCTCCGGCTCCCACACACAAAGGTACTTCAGGCGAGAGACTTCATTTCTCAGAGCCTCAGCTTCCCCTATGGCTCCCCCTGTGAACGGGGGTATCATCATCATCATGCCTGCCTCAGAGAGGGCTGTGTGGATCAGAGTGCACCGAAGCGCCGGCTGCCGCCCCGGACACACATCAGGTGTGTCATGAAACAGCACACGGCATTAACATAATAGTATGACCGCTCACCATCATCCTCTGCAGGAACTTTCTGTACCTCGGCCTTTGCCGGCTCCTTCACAACTTCTGAGATGGTAATTGAGCTACGGAAGGAGGAAATGGTTGATTTAGGATGAGATTTTGGGGTAACAAGAAAAAAATTAAAACTTTTTTTTTTTTTTAAGTGGAGGGGACAGGGGCATGTGCTCTTAAATGCTCCAGCAGCAAGCATGCTGGCCCGATTAAGGATAGTAACACCTATAGCCACAACATGCTGAACAGCCCCTGTCGGCACAAATGGCAACACTTCCTTTGTTCGAACCCCACTTTATTCCAGAAAGAGTTGAAGAAGTTTTAAAGATACCCACAGTACAACAAAATGAATGCATGGGGCGCCTGGGTGGCTCAGTCGTTAAGCGTCTGCCTTTGGCTCAGGTCATGATCCCAGGGTCCTGAGATCGAGCCCCGCATTGGGCTCCCTGCTCCGCGGGAAGCCTGCTTCTCCCTCTCCCACGCCCTCTGCTTGTGTTCCCTCTCTCTTGTATTTCTGTCAAATAAATAAATAAATAAATAAGTAAATAAAATCTTAAAAAAAAAATGAATGCAATTTCAAATAGAACGAAAAGAAAATAGGCTAGGAGGGACAGAAATTGCTGGAGAGAGGGCGCATGGTTTGCTTTGAGTGCCCTGGTAGGCGTGAAAAGGGAACTAAGACCAATCTGGAGAACTGGTTCAGAGCTCAGCTTCTACAGCAGGGCAGACCTATTTTTTGTTTCTTTTCTTAATTTTTATTTTTATTTTTTTTAAATTTGAGATAATTATGGGTTGACATGCAGCTGTAAGAAATAAAACAGAGATCCCATATACCCTTCCCTTTCCTCCCTATGGTAACATGTGCATAACTAGAGTCCAGGATCACAACCAGGAAACAGACATTGATATAACCCACTGACTTTATTTACACTTCAGAGACCTGGCTTTGAATCCTGGCTTCGTCACTTCCTTGTGGTGTCCCCTTTGGCAAGAGACTTCATCTCTCTGAGCCTCTGTTACTCACCTGCACACTGAGAATAGTAGCCCTATGTTTCAGAGTTGTTATGGGATGAAATAACATAGTGGGTATCAAGCACTTACTTAGCATGGAGCCTGGCCACAAGGAGATGCTCAGTAAATGGCAGCTATGATGATGATCAAGCTGAGCAGCGAGAAGTACTGAGGTCAGAAAGCACCTCTCTGGTGAATGCTGATGAAGTCACCATGCACTGCAGAGAACAACGCTCTCACAATGTCCTGGCAGCAAACACAGCCACGCCCTGGGTGCGTTGTCCTAACTGCCTTCCCTATATGCCAAAGGCATCCCCAAGAGCGCTGTGCAGGAAAGCAGGGAGAGGGCACAGAGCAACTGCTGCCCAGGTGCCTAACTCCAACCTGAGTATCTGACACAGTGGTTCAATGTTGGTCTGCAGGGGACATCAGGCAACGTCTGGAGACATTTTTGGTTGTCACGACTGGTGGTGGTGGTGGTCTGGGGGGCGGGGATCACTATTAGGATGTCGTGGGTAGAGGCCAGGGATGCTCACTGTTCTACAATGCACAGGGTGGCTCCCCACAAGCAAGAAAGATCCAGTCCAAAATGTCAGGAGTGCCAAAGCTGAGAAACCTTGATCTAACACAAGGAACCAACAAGTCTCTTTTCAGAGAAACACAGAAACACCATGGGGAATATGCTGACCGTGGTTGACCTGTATCTTGCGGGGTTTCCACCTGGGGAAATGTCCAATGTGGATCGCTGCAATGCCGCCAGCCCTTGTTCACTCTGGAGCCAAAGGGTCATGAAGACAAACTGCTCCCGCGTGTTGAAACGCCACTAGATACTTCCTACGCATGTTTACCACATTCGCGAGCTGGGGGACTGGTACTGAGGCTGTGATGGCTCAGGCTGCGAAGGTCTGGCCCAACATTCTGTCTCAGAGTGCAGCTGGCTTATACTTTGGGAGGACACGTTTGTCTTTTTGATAAATTGAAGGACTACGGCCTGAACATCTTCATCTCCCTTTCAAAAGCTGGTGGGGCTCTGCCAATCAGGAATGGATCTAGACCAGCGTATCCTGAAATGTGTTCCAGGCTACATGGATCAGTCTTCCCTGAAATAAAGCCACTGTGGCCAAATGAGTTTGGAAACTGCCGGGCCAAGCAAAACCACACAGGTCTCTTGACTGCAGGATTCTCAAAGCCTTGGATATACTGTTATGAATCTAAGCCTCCAAGGGCACAAGGGGGTGTATAGATTGCAGTGTTTCCCAACTTCTTTGCTGTTGGACCCCTTCTTTTGAGAGCCATGCTTTGGACTTGGCGCCTACTTGAGGAATGCTGACCGGGATCTGTACAAATTATATTCTCAAATGCAAGAAAGAGAACCAGTAAGGCACAGGGCATAAAGAAAGTACCCCCAAAATAGTAGTTTTGGCTGTCTCTAGCCCTCTTGTGGTGGGAATGAGCTCTTGCTTCTTGGGTTCCTCTTATTTTCACAGTAGCGGGATAATGCAGTAGTTAAGAGTGTGGCCTTTAGGGCCAAACACACTTGGGTTTGAGTCCCAGCCTTGCTCCTTAAACCCTGTGGCTTCGAGCAAACAATCCTTCTCCAAGAGCCCGTTTCCTCATCTGCAGAATAAGGACAACGATGGCACCTGTATGGTGGGCTGATTACAAATGCCACGAGGGGACATATGCCACGTGCTTGCCCAGTGCCTGCTTGCACACCTTGAGCTCCCAGCTGATGTGAGCCATCGCTGTTCGTATTAAAGGAGGCAGGAGAAGAGAAGGTCCATCTTTGGTTACCTGTCCAGCAGGGCTCCCAGTTTCTTGGCTATGTGGGCTCGGAATTCGGGGGTGGTCTGAAGTTCATTGCCATCTTGTTCATGTTCATCCACTTTATGCCTACAACACACACAAAAGCACCTCACTTCCTGCCAGCTCAGCAGCTGCCTCCTCCATGAGGGCAGGGACTCCGTGGGCTCGTTCACCCTGACATTCCAGGGTCTAACCTTGCATCTGGCACATGGCAGGGGATCACTATTTGTTAAAAGGGTGGATTAAATTTATTTTCTTTAAATTTTTTATTGTTATGTTAATCACCATAGATTACATCATTAGTTTTTGATGTAGCGTTCCATGATTCATTGTTTGTGCATAACACCCAGTGCTCCACGCAGAACGTGCCCGCTTTAATACCCATCACCAGGCTAACCCATCCCCCAACCCCCTCCCCTCTAGAACCCTCAGTTTGTTTTTCAGAGTCCATCACTCTCATGGTTCGTCTAAGGGTGGATTAAATTTGAACCCAACAATGCACAGTACCTGAGGCTCGGCTGGGTGGCTGGCCGCTGATTATTTCTGGCATCTGTAGAAATAAGGAAAATTGAGGCATTTATAGAGGAAATGATAACAATGTCCGTTGGGCATCAGACGTGATTTACACGCGTTAACACACTGAATGCTCCCAACAACGCTGTTAAAGGAGTTATTAACCATTTTGCAAAAGAGGAAGCTGAGGCAAGGAGAGGTAAACTAACTTGGCCAGAGTCACACAGCTAGTAAGTGACAGAGTTGGGGCAAGACCCAAGTCATCTGGCTCCAGAGCCCCCTCTTAACCACCATGCTGAACAAGAAAGTCTAAGTGTATTTGATTCCAGTGTTGACTGCACACCTACTATGTGCCTGCCTTTGTACTAAGGGCCTGGTGATCATTCACTCAACCAAATCCTGAAGCTCTAATACTACCTAGGTGGTGTTCCAGTTGCTGAACAATTTAGATACAGATCTCAGCCCTCATGGAGCTTCCATTCTAGTTGGTGGTTACGGATGACAAAAACCACACAATTAAAATATAAAATTAGATAATGATAAATACAGAGGGAAAAAATAAAGCAGGGGAAGGATGTAGCAGAGGGACTAGATGGGGGATCATTTTATAAAGGCGGACAGGGAGGACTTCACTGATAGGTGACATGTGAACAGAGATTTCAGAGAGGCGAGGGAGTGAGTCAAGTGCATACCCGGGGAAGAGTCTTCCAGGTAGAGGGAAGAGCACCTGCAAAGGCCCTGAGGCAGAAGTTTAGAACTAGCCAGGAGGCTGGTGTAGCTGCAGCCCAGTGAGTTGGGGGGAGCAGCAGAAATGGGGACCTCATGGGATCAGGAAGGGCCTGGTGGGCAAATACAAGGACCTGAGCCTTGAGGGAGGTGGGGAGCCACTGGAGGATTCTGCACAGAGGAGGGACATAGGTGGACTTGGGATTTTTCAGCATGTCTCTAGCTGTGGCGTGGATACAGACCATAGTGGGGCGATGGCAGAAGGAGGGGGCCTCGGCAATCATGGAGACGATGAGAAGTGGCAGGGCTCTGTATGCATGTATTTTGAAGCAGTCAGCAGGATTTTGCTGGTGGACCAGATGGATGGTGTGAGAGACGAATAAAAGATGGCTCTCAGGTCTTTGAGTAATGGGACAAAATGCGCTTGTGTATTGAGGGAGCCAACTGGACAAAATGATCACTTGGTAACTCTGGGCCCCAAGCAGGGCGTCATGGTCTTGAATGACTCCAGAGCATGCAGTTCACATTGTGGTCTGTGTCAAATGTGCTCTGGGGCACAGCACACAATGCAAAGTGCCCGGTGCTCCTGGAGTTGGGGAACCTGGAAGCCTGGGATGGACCCCGTTCTTCCTTCTGAGCACACAATCACAAGGAGGAGGAGTACTTCCTCCATCATGACTACACAGCCAGGGCAGTGACATAATGTCACGGAACAGCAACAGTATGAGGCCCCAGACCCCAGAAGACAGGGTTCAGTTCTGGTTCTTCCACTGTGCCTCTGGGCAAGTCACTTTACCTCCCCAAACCTTTGTTTTTGTCATCTATAAAATGGGGATAAGACCACCAACTTCCCAGAGTTACTGTGAGGACACAGTGAAGGTTTACAGTTTTGGACACTTCGTCTGCAGGTTTCTCTCCTCCCTGCATTTGTAAGCTGCTGGAGCACATGGTCTGCCTCTTGTTATCTTTACATCTCCAGCTCTTGGCGTAGTACCTTGGTGTGAAAGAAATGTTGTATAGGGTATTCAAAGTGTATGGTTTGAGGTGTGGGTGATCAGTTCCTCATTACTGGATTAAAGAGCTGTATCAGGGGTTACCTTAATAATACAGTCACTTATGGGGTACCTGGGTGGCTCAGGCAGTTAAGCGTCCAACTCTTGATTTCAGCTCAAGTCACAATCTCAGCATTGTGAGATGGAGCCCAGCATCAGGCTCTGCACTGGGCGTAGAGCCTGCTTAAGATTCTCTCTCTCCCTCTGCACCCCCACCAACTCACATGCACCTACTCTCTCTCTTTCTCAAACAAACAAACAAAACTTAATAATATAGTGACCTACATTTCCACATGGTCATGGACCAAAGGATGGGAGTTTTGCCCACAATAGGCACTTGTCTGTGGCGGGGAGTGGCAGAACAGCAGTTAATAGCATGGGCTTAGAGTCAGAAAGACCTGGATTTATGCCTGACTCTGCTACCGACAAGCTGGATGACGTTTCTGAGCATCCACATTCTCATTTGTAAAATGGCACTAATAATTGCTGGAATGGTACAGCTGGAAAAATTAAACTAGACAACAAATACGAAGCGTTCAGAACAGGGCACACAGGGGTGCCTGGGTGGCTCAGTCGGTTAAGCGTCCGACTCTTGATTTTGGCTCAGGTCATGATCTCAGGGTTGTGAGGTTGTGAGGTTGTGAGATCGAGCCCCATGTTGGCTCAGCATGGGGTCTGCTTGAGTTCCTCTCTCCCTCTGCTCCCTGCCCTGCACACGCTCCCTCCTTCCCTTTCTCTCTCGATACAATCTTTAAAAAAAAAAAAATGTGTGCCTGGGTGGCTCAGTCGGTTAAGTGTCTGCCTTCAGCTTGGGTCATGATCTCGGGGTCCTGGGATCAAGCCCCACATCGGGCTCTCTGCTCAGTGGGGAGCTGGCTTCTCCCTCTCTCTCAAATAAATAAATGAAATTAAAAAAAAAAAAAAAAAAGAACCCGGACACACAGTAAACGCTCAACTCGTGGTGGCTATTATTATTATAATGGCCCAAGAAGGTATGTCAAGTGTTCAGTATTTTTCCTGGCACACAAAAGGTGCTCAATAAGTAAGAGGGCTGATTATCAGCAGCTACATCTACTTTGGTCAGCAGAAGGTTTACGATTTCACAAAAACAATGAGTTGGCAAAGCTGCTATCTTGGATGCCACTTCTCCCATGTGCATCTCTTTTGTTGGTCAAAGCTGTTCATGTTTGAGACTCACGACAATCCTAGGACATAGGCATTTTACACGTGAGGAAATTGTGGCTCTCAGAAATGATTTTACTTGTCTGGGGCCAGCTTCAGAGCTGGCACTTCATATCAAGTCCTCCCTTTACTGCCATAGAGAAATCCATTCTGTCAAGGCAGAAGCAACTGGACTGGAAGTCTGGTTGGAGTCTCAGCCTCACTCATCAGAGAAGTGCCTTTCCGGCAAGTTCATTAAGAACTATTTTCCTGAGAACTGTGCTAGGCCCTGGGGATACCACGGTGAAGGGACAGGCCAGATCCCAGTCTTCGTTAAGTTCACACTATGTAACCTCTCACTAAAATATTTGTGGAGCAAGTCAGGCCAGGATTAACTCCCCCACAAGTCCTAGGGATGCAGGGATGAAAGGAAAAAAGACAAGTGGCAATCGTAGGAAAAAAGGAAGCACCATCTGTGAAGGGAATCGCACAAGGTACGATGGTGACACTGTGAAGACATGTAACCAGCTTTTCTGAAGAGGTGGGATCTCAGCTGTATCAAAGGGCAAGCAGGAGTTAAGCAGGAGACAGAAAGTAGTCTATGTAGAGAGAATAATCACATAACTACTGCCACTTATTGGGCCTTTAATATGTGCCAAGCACTGTAGATGTATCACCTCAGTTATTTCTCAACCTTGGGGAGGGGAGGTGGGACTACCATTAACCCTACAAGTGCCTTGCCCAAATTCTCATTGCTACTGAGTGATGGAGTTGGAAAGGCAGACCTGTATGTAAAACCTGAAGAGAAAAGTGCTGACTTATGGTGTCCAGGGATGAGGCGATATAATGTGAAGTCTACCTATGGGAAATGCAATGTGGCAGGACAGCAGGAAAGGAGAGGCAGGCAGGGAATGGATTACCAAAGGGCTTGTAAGTCCTTTTAAACAAAAGCGGGGGTTCCTTTTTTTTTTTTAAGATTTTATTTATTTATTTGACAGAGAGAGACATAGCGAGAGAGGAAACACAGCAGGGGGAGTGGAGAGGGAGAAGCAGGCTTCCCACGGAGCAGGGAGCCAGATGTGGGGGCTCGATCCCAGGACCTTGGGACCATGACCCAAGCCGAAGGCAGACGCTTAATGACTGAGCCACCCAGGCGCCCAAAAGCGGGGGTTCTTAACCTTGCTTTGCTATGGCCTGCTTTGGCAGTCCGGTAAAGCCTGGATTCCTCCTCAGAACAATGTTTGAAATGCATGAAACACAACACATACGATTACAAAGAAAGCCAATGATACAGAAATCCAGTTATCATTAATAGTAAAAAAAAAAAAAATTGGCACATTAACTGAGTAAGGGACAGGTGAGGCTAGGTATCGAGAGACAGGTAGGGGGCTATGTAACCAGGCTCAAGGATATCCTAGAGGTGGAGAAATGTTATAGACAAGATATTAACCAGAGAGCAGGGAACAAAACAAAGCCACCTGGTTTGTTCTAAATATAGACAAGATACTTTCATAATATTTACAAATCCACCTTGTCCTCAATGTTACAGACAAGATATTTAGGATAAAAGTCCTCAGTGGCAACCCATTCCCCACCTCTCTCACTCTAGAGAGCTTTCCTCTCCATTCTCACCTTCCCTTAATAAACCTTCACTTCATTTCACCCTTTGTCTGCCAGATTCATTCTTTGACTCTGTGAAACAAGAACCCTGCAACCCTGCAACATTACTATATGTGCTTCTTTATTAATGCATTGTCTTTATTAATGCATTAAGTAAGATCTACCGATGGGCCTAAAAATGATTGCAATGTTAAAGCAGGGATGAGTGTAAATTATTTTTTCCCAACAATTGTGAATAAAGTGATATTTTGATACATATTCAAACACTGTGCTGGGATATGAAAATCTGTGATTTTGTTAGGACCAAGTAACAGGTATTGCCCAAACGACTGTAGTCTATGGCTCACATGCATGACAGAAAGGGATGCTAAATTTCAAATGCAGGTTAATGAAAGTAAAGGTGAAATATCTTTCCGATTCCAAATTCACGGATCCTCTGGATTCTACCCATGACTAGGAATCCCTATGTTGAAGGGCTTTGGATTTATTCTCAGGGTAGTGAGAGTCACGGTCAGACACATGTAGGACTCAGCTCGCTGGCTGCCCCAAGGTCTGAGAATGAGATCGCTGAACGCGCGGTAAGGCTGGAGACCCGTATCCGGTACGGGGGGCTGTCGCAGTCATCTCGGAGAGATGGCGGACTGCGAAGAGTGCGACAGTGACGATGGACCAAAGGAAGCAGAGGGAAGAGACATTCAGGTGCCTCAGTTTCCCTGACTGGGATAACGGAACAACCCTCCCTCTTGCACCTGCCCTCTCTTTTTTTTTTTTTTTTCCCCAAGGATTTTATTTATTTGAGAGAGGGAACACAAGCAGGGGGAGTGGGGGAGGGAGAAGCAGGCTCTCCGCGGAGCAGGGAGCCCGAGGCGGGGCTCGAGCCCAGGACCCTGGGATCATGACCTGAGCCGAAGGCAGGCGCTTAACGACTGAGCCACCCAGGTGCCCCCAGCCTGCCCGCTCTTTGAATCTGAGTTCCACCCAGTCCCTGGAGCTTTCTCAGGGTGAGAAGTCGAGCCCGGGTCACACCCTCCTCACCATCCAGCCTCTGAGACCCCAGGGGAAGATCCCACGCCTTTACGCCAGACTCCCAGAACACAGCCTCCTACCGGCTCTTGGCTTCTCCGGCCCTCCCTGGCGCTGCTCCAAGCCCCAGGCCGGCATCGCCGCCTCGCGGCACCGTGCCAGCTCCTCCGCATCGCTGCTGCTGCTGCTCCTCTCCAAATCGCTCAGGGCGCCACAGGGCACCGCCATCTTGAGTTACCGCAAAGGATTGTGGGGAGCACTTCTACTAGCGAACTTCCGCAACCACAGAAGGGTGGAGAAGCGCAAGGTATTGTGGGGATTGTAGTTCTCCGACTCCGGCCGCCCTCCGCCACGAACCACCCAGAGGGTTTCCTCAAAGGTGAGAGCTAGAAGGGCCTAAGAGGTGAACTTCTCCATTCTTTTCTTGATGAGGAGAATGAGACCTACAGAGGAGATGGAATTGCCTAAAGTCATACAGGGAGTTAATGACAGAACCAGCATTGGTTCCTAGGCTTTGATCCAATGTAGTTTCAATATTATCCATTTGTTCAGTAATTACCAAATTCTTCTAGGCATGAGAAACACCATAGGGAACTTGCTAAAATTTGGATTGTTGTGTCCATCAAAAATTAACCAAAGGAGGGCGCCTGGGTGGCTCAGTCTTGGTTACGCATTTGCCTTTGGTTCAGGTCATGATCCCAGGGTCCTGGGATCTCCCCGCCCCTTCCCCCGCCCGTTCGCCCGCCCTCCTTCTCCTTCTGCCTCTGCTCCTCCCCCTGCTCCTGCGCAGGCTCTCTCCCTCTCTCTGACAAATAAAATCTTCAAAAAATATATTTAAAAAGGAACCAGGGCAAGGGGGGGGGGAATGAAACTTTTTATTGGGTGAATGGCGTAAACCTGATTACATGAAGTACTGTGATGATAGAGGTACTGTTCTTTTCCTAATGTCCTTGGACCGTTATGTACTGTTCGTGTGTGTGCATCGGGAGTTGAGAGGGTTGTTTTACGCTTCATCATCCTCTCTGTCCCTGACTTTGCCTCCCTCCATCTCAGTTTCCCTGCAATCCTCATCTCCCAGAATTAGGCGGCTCAAATGATTCAGCAAGAATCACCAGGACAGCATTAGCACCCGTGGAAAGAGATTAAGACCATCCAAAAGAGAATAAACAAAGGTTATTTATTCCCAGCTTCCTATTGCAAGGGAGTCAGCCACTGTCTCCTGCAGGCTGGCAGAGACTCCAAGCAAAAAGCTTTATAGTGGAAAAAAGAGAAGGCTTCAGGTACGTCCTGATTGAAGCTGTCGGCATGGGGAAGCAGTAGGTGGCTAACTAGAAGCAGGGCGTCCTCACTGTGATTGGTTAGGGGGCTTATTTGGCTTTTTCTGGTTGGTTCTAAGTTGGAAGTGAGGTGGAATTAGGGAAGCTGACAGTTAGTGACCAAGTCCTGACGATTAGGGGTTGACTGCTGCAGAGGTGGTGGTTTGGCTTCCCAGGCTGGGGGCTGCAGAGGTTGTGTGGGTCAGAATCCTGTCGTCCTATGTGGTCTGGCCATTGTCCTTTGTATACCAAGTGTCTCACATCCCTCCTCATTCTCCCACTGGCAGGGCTAGGCTAACTATGTACAAAGCTGGTGAAGACATGGCACCTCCCCAGGCGAGAGCTGGAAGAAGTGGTTGATATGCCGAGTCCCGGATTAGCTGGGTGGAAATGGAAACCTTTCAGCTTTCTTCTTGGAGAGGATAAGGGTGTCACTGTCCTGGATCCCATAGCTGTACAAAGACAACCAATCCTGCAGGACTTGACCTTGGAACTCTAGCTGCTGCTGCTTTCTGGGCAGCCCCTGCTTGTCTTCAATCTGCTGCTTCAGGCCCAGGATGAAGCTTTTGGGGTCAATGGCATAGGCAAGGCTCCCCCCATCGGGATTCTTCACAAACACCTGGATCTCGAGGGAGGTGGTCTCCACCAGACAGAGGCAAATGTTGGAGAAGATGCTGTAATCAGCCAAGGAGCACTGGCTACTGAGGAGCTGTCGCTTGCCACCAGGCTCCTGGAAGGACAGATGGTGCAGGCCCATGGAGTCCCGGGTCTGCCAGATCTTCTGTTGAACCTTCTTTATGGGCTCGTAAGGGTTCACCCTAAGGATCAAGTCTGAGTAACCCCGCTGTTCTACTGTCACTTGGATGTCTTGTGCCCTCTGGAAGGGAGAGAAGAGGGAGAGGGGGTTATTCCACACTCCTCTGCCTGACGTGCGAAGGTTCCCCTCACCTGTCCCCATGTTTCCAACAGCAGCAGCAACACATTTGGGTTGTGCCGACCACCTTCCAGGCCCTGTACTGGGCACCTGTCACACTCTTCTGAATGCCTTTCATTCTCACACCAGCCCTATGAGGTTGGTTCCTATTATCCCCTTGTACAGATGAGGAAATTGTGGTTGAGCAGGGTTAAGTGACTTACTGACCATCACGGAGGTAGTGAGGAGCATAGCAGGTATTTGAACCAAGGTCAGTCAGACTCCAAAGTCTGTTCTTCGCCACCACCAGAGGTCATGCTCAAGGGTCTGGGAGTCCCTGGTGGCTGAAGAACAGTACCTGGAAGGTGCTGGGGAGGGCAGGACCCCTAGCTAATCTTTTCCAGAAAGAATACAGGCCCAGAATTCCCATGTCTTCTGATGTTTCAAGATAAACATCTTTGCACAATGGTTTTTATATTCAGGAAAATTCCAGAGGCATATACTTTACAGTCTGTCTGTGGGCCTCACTTGGCTGGTGGGACCCACAAAGACCTGGCCTGGGTATAAATCCTGGCTCTGCTCTTAGTGTGTGATCTTGGTTAATTCACGTAACCTCTCTGAGCCTCGGTTTCTTCATCTGTAAAATGGGGATGATAACATTCAAGATAGTGATAATAAAAATACTTGACCTCTCTCTTTTACACACTTGTCCTGGGGCAAGTGCTTGACAAGTTATTAAGTACAATAGGAATAGAATAAAATTGATTATTATGATCTTTGACTGCACGGTAGGTTTGCCATTACATAATAATATTATTTAGCATTTTTTGTTCCCTGAGTAATTCCCCTGGCAATTATTTTCTTTCTAGCAGTTCCGTGCAAATTTGTTTCAAGGGCTTGCTTCCTACCAAAATCCAATGAGTTCTTTGAGAGTAGGAGCCATGTTTGACCTCGGCACCACTGCTGCTTGTCCCCACCAGCCCCCAGTGCTGGCACAAAACAGCTGCTGAATTCACTTGCCTGGCCTCAGCTCATGTGCTCCGTGATCGGGAGCATGACCGATTCTCCAGTAGGTTATGGGAAAGAGAAAGAAAAAGGAGAACGTGACTTTGAAAGGAAGCAGTCTGAGGCTCAGAGGGTTGCAAAACGTCCCCAAGTTCACAGAGCTGCTGGGTGTTGCAGCCAGACCTGCCTGGCTCTAAAGCCTTGTTGGCGCCATCAACACAGAAGGTAAATAGGTAAATTCTGTGCAGTTACCTCTTTCTGAGCTTCAAGCCCTTGAAAGCCCCACAGAGGAGGCATTACCTTCACGGTCCAGCTGGGGACCGGGTTCTCCTTGTCATCATAGCAACAGTTCTGTTTCAGGCAGTGGCAGGCCCTCTGAGCAACTATGTCCCATCTGTACCCTTCGGCCACATTGTGGGTGGGGTCAGCTGGATCCAGGATGATGGGCCTGCAACACAGGGAGAGGGTTCCCAGGCTCTTTCCGGTCTGGAGGCCCGCAAGCCAGAAAGAAGCCTACTCAAGCAGTCATCTAATCAAACCACTGAGCATATGCTGGGTCCAGAGCCCCAGGGCCGTCAGTCCAGGAGGGCCCAAGAACATTGCTGGAGAGGAACAGAAAGGGGATGATTATATTTGCAAGAATTCCTTTTCGGCATGTGGAGTGTTGCGATCCCCAAGGGCATGCTGTAGCCATAATAGATGCCCACTCAGGCAGGCGGCCTCTTAAGTCCAGGGCTTTTGTTTTGCTGAGCAGGACACATATGTAAGTTTGAGGCCAAGGCTGCTGAATTGCTTTAGATAATAGAAACACCACCACCACCAACTACTGATAGTTATTGAGGCACTGGGTCAAGCCCTGTGTGAATTAACCTGTTTTAATCCTTATAACAGTTCTAAGAGGGAGAGACTATTGGTTTCTTTTTTTTTTCTTTTTTAAAGATTTATTTATTTAAGAGAGAGAGAGAGAGTGAATGCATGAGCAGGGGGAAGGGTAGAGGGAGAGGGAAACAAGCAGACTCCTGCTGAGTGAGAGCCAGATGTGGGGTTCAATCCCAGGACCCTGAGATCATGACCTGAGCTGAAATCAAGAGTCGGATGTTTAACCGACTAAGCCACCCAGGTGCTCCGGGAGAGGCTATTGTTATTGCTGTTACTGCTGTCCCCATTTCACAGATAAGGAAACTGAGGCACAGACTTCTCTAAGTTCTTAGAGCCAGCAAATGGGTATTCTTTTTTTTTTTTTTAAGATTTTATTTATTTGACAGAGAAAGACAGCACAAGCAGGGGGAGCGGCAGGCAGAAGGAGAAGGAGAAGCAGGCTCCTCCGCAGAGCAGGGAGCCCGATGTGGGGCTCGATCCCGGGACCCTGGGATCATGATCTGAGCCGAAGGCAGTCACTTAACCAACTGAGCCACCCAGGCGCCCCAGCAAATGGGTGTTCTTACCCATCTGGTCTGCGGAGAAAGTTTGGGCTCCCACCAAGTGTCTCTCTTCTATATAAATGGTCAATTAATACTTAAAGAATATTGGCTTGAAGGGGGTCTAACAGCCTCTTTCGGTTGCTTGGGGTGACCACATGTGTTGGATGCCAAGCCCATGATTAAGACCTGGCTCTTGCCCTGCAGGAGCTTTTGGCTTAGGAGGAAGCTGTGATTTTTTCTATGACAGAATGTGACAGTATACTATGGGAGTGTGCGGGACACACTGTAGGCTCTATGCTTGCTACTCCCAACATCCCTGCGTCCCTGAAATAGCCCTGCCCGAAATAGGGGGCTGTCCTATAGGGTAAGATCGCCTGACTCAAAGTGACTGGCCAGGCGACCCAACATGTAGGGCCTGGGCCCAATGAGTAGACTGGTTCCCTCTGGGGTTTGGACCAAGGATGATGGAGGTCCCTCATCAAAGAGAAGTAAGAGCGGAGCAGGGCAGGTGTGGGAGAGAAGCAGAGGCTTCTCAGAGGAAAGAGGGCATGTGGACCATGAGAGGGAGTGGCA